GAAGATGAGGAAAACAAAGGTGACTCGGATGTGGTACCGCCGCTAAGATTGGGTGCAAAGGGGATTGCTTGGTGACGGAAGCTTTGCTTCATCTGTTGCGTCGCTGGAAAGGCGCCCTGCCCCTCATGCTATCGCCTGCTACTTTACCCAAGCTCTATAAGGCGCTACTTGGGGGAAGGCTCAGCCCTTGTTCATGACAGTTCAGGGAGGACGTCAAAACTGTATCAAAGTACCCCAAAAAGAAATTTCAAATCAAAGATTCAAGGAAAATTGTCAACCTTTCACGCAGCAGACTTTCGGGAAGTGGGTTCTGCCTTGTGGGATGTCCATGGAACCACTTTCATCATACCAAGCCACGGCAACATGTAATATTTGGAAAGATTGTCGGAGGACTGACCCTTTTCGCCCCACCTGCCTCGACCTTATGGACGCTATTAGTACTTAGGTATATACTTCAGTTTCTCCATAAGGGCAATACGGCCATAAGTTAACTCCTTGACTTAAGTCCGGGAAGCTATAACATTAGCACATGCTACCCAAGACCGATTTCAAGTGCCGGGCATCATAGCCCAAAGCATTCGGGCCGCAAGATACTCATGCCCGCTATTCTCGTTTTAGGAGGATAGGAGGACTTGGCTGTAATGATCATGATGCAATGCCGGAGATAATACGACGGTAAGTCAGGAGTAGTGGCCCAAGTACTTGTTTATAAATATGTCCAGTCTACCTCAAATCACACGACAGCAAAGAGCAACAACAAGGTGAACGAACTGTATAAGCCCTTCAACTACCTGCGAATTTGAATTCAGAATGCCTACTTTCCGACCTCCTCCGAAATCTTTACTTATCCGCCATCGGCAGTTGGCTCCAAGTGCCTCCGTGCGTGTGTCGCCACTATGTCTAGGTGCTATGACCTTCGGACAGAAGCAAGCAGACCGATACGGCGAGATCACCAAGGAAGAAGCCTTCAACATCCTTGACACGTTTTACTCCAACGGAGGAAACTTCATCGACACCGCTAATGCCTACCAACATGGGCAGTCTGAAGAATGGGTCGGCGAATGGATGGCGAGCCGGGGCAACCGAGACGAGATGGTGATAGCTACCAAGTATTCCGCACCGTGGCAGTCCGACCACGCAGATAAGATCCAGAGCAACTTTATTGGCAACAGCTCCAAGAGCATGAAGGTCTCGGTCGAGGCATCCCTCAAGAAGCTGCAGACGACATACATCGACCTGTTCTACGTCCACTTCTGGGACTACACAACCTCGATTGAAGAGGTCATGCATAGTCTTAATGACCTCGTCGTCGCCGGCAAGGTAATCTACCTAGGGATAAGCGACGCGCCCGCCTGGATCGTCAGCTCCGCCAACAGATACGCGCGGGACCACGGACTGCGGCCCTTCGCCGTGTACCAGGGCATGTGGAGCGCGTCACTGCGCGACTTCGAGCGAGACATCATCCCGATGGCCCGGGCCGAGGGCATGGCCCTGGCGCCGTACGGCGTGCTCAACCAGGGACGCTTCCAGACCAAAAAGGGGTACGAGGAGCGCGAGAAGGCAAACCTGGGCCGCAAGTTCATCCCCGTCTCGACCAGAGACAAGGAGGTCGCGGCCGTGCTCGAGCGCATAGCCGACAGGAAGGGGTGCCAGCTCCTCCAGGTCGCGCTGGCGTACTGCTTGCAGAAGACCCCCTACGTGTTCCCGATCATCGGCGGTCGCAAGGTCGAGCACATCCAGTCCAGCATCGACGGTCTTGGCGTCGAGCTGTCGGACGACGAGGTCGCGGAGATCGAGAAGGCGTATCCGTTTGATCACGGCTTCCCGCATACGTTCCTGAGCGGGACATTGTTCCAGGGCTCGGACTACCCGGATCAACGCCAGGTTGAGGGCCCTGGCGACGTCATGCTCACGAAGATGGGAGGGGATTTCGATTGGGTTGCCGAGCCGAGAGCGATTCGGCCTAGTGATGCTGTTCGGGAGGCGGAACCGGTACCCGGGTGGGCGCAGAGCAAAGGGGGTGAGGATAAGTGAGTTGAATGATAGATTGCTCCAGGCCAAGTTGAAACAACAGTAGCCTAGAGCCCAGCGAACCTCATACATAGTAGGTAGGTAGCTATCAACTACATTAAGACCTAAGATGAACAAAATATCCGGGATAGTAGTGTATATAAATTGGTGGTGCTTCCCCTTTAAGTGTAAAACTAGGATTATCGTAAATGTCATCTTTATATCGTTGTACAGATCCTTCTATTAAGAGAACAGTTCTGCCTGCTCCCTTTGCCTATGGCCCAAAACAGTTCAAACCCAGAGCAGGTAACTTGTATGGAGGCAGGTACCACACATTACACAGTTGGTAAGGCTGAAGTTACTAAACTGACGATAACAGAAGTTCATAAGTCACCATATCCGTTTCACTCTCATCAGTGTTCCTTAAGTAGTTACTTACCTAGGGTAGGCAAACACAAGGTATATACCTCCAAGCCTTTTTCTATGGTTCCTACTGTGTGGGTAGGAATATTTGGATATGTATCTGATGTGCTATGGATGATAACTCGAAATGACCCTTGCTACACGCCACTAAATCCAATGTCACAGTATACAGTGCTCTTATAATGTCCCTCAGCGCCTGCTATCCGAATCCATATACGAGAGCCCCTTGGCCTATGCCTCCTTACGGTAGAAGTGAGATAGCATACCTAGGTATGTACAACTGGGAGGGAGCGTTTAAGGCAAGGTAGCATCTCGATTTGATATGGATGATTATCGAGTGTGTGTCCTAGGAGTGACCCTTGATTATTGTTCCTAAGTTCCTGCCTAGCTGTCTCTGTTAGACACTCTTGATATTTCCTATTGTTACCGTCGTCCTTTTCTTTACGTCGTGGTCTTCAGTACGCCATTGTCTTCTTACGCCATTGCCTTCACAACTCATGGTCTTTCTACGCTGTCGTCTTCTTGCAATGTGCACTAGCCATAAGAAGGATTTTATGGAAGAAGACGATATGCTCATAAAAGCCTGTCCCTTCGAAATCTAGAGTACTTGCACCTTTAACTGGCCCTTCTTCTTTCCTTTAACAAGCACTTTATCTTATCCTTCTGTTTTTTCTTGCAACACCCTTGAAAATCTTCAACCTTCCAACTTCTCATCTTTTCAACACCCATACCTACTACATACCTCCTAGATAATATCCACCTCTCAAGAATCATTCTTGATCATCAGCAACTTACAGGATACCATCCCGGAACCTGTGCATGGTCATCGATTATCTTACGAATCATAAGTATTCTACTTTACAGCAAGCCGCCATGACGTCCACCGTCTTCTACCAACAGCAGTCGCCGCTATTCAAGCGCCTCCCCGGCGAGGTGCGAAACGAGATCTGGCGTTGGTGTAAGCCCGAGCTCGACTCATTCGACGGCCCGGTTTCCGTGCTTGAAGATACCGAAAACCCTTCGTCTTGCTCGTTCCCTCTCCCCGCCGTCCTTATGACGTGCAAGCGTATTTACAAGGAGGCATTCTCATTCATCTGTGACACGATGGTTATCACAGTTGTCGAGGTATCTATCCTCCGGGAGATGACCGACGGCGAGGTCGCGTCGATCCAGTTCATCGGCAACTTGCGACCCGAGAACATTCGCCACTTGACACTCAACTATTCCGCCGCGCGTTGGCGATCGCAGTTCGACAGATGCGTTCTCGATTTCATCTCCAACGCCGAGAACATCCGTCGCATCGACGTCAACATCTCCGAGGACATACGCCCGCGCAACTGCGAGGGTACCAAGCCGAACAACCTGTGCCTTAGCTGCGCTCTTCGACATACGCCCCTTGACGAGCTGGCGCGTCTGATTGCGGCTCCCCCGAACGTTGAGCATGTCGAAATCGGTGGCTATTATCGCAGCAGCTGGCTCAAGGGCCTCATGTTCGAGCTCCGCAACACTTACCGCCAGGTCGAAGTGGTTAAGAAGAAGACACTGAAGCTGGCCCCGGACCAGGCCCCGGTCACAACACGAACACGAGTCGAGCCTCTTTCGGAGACGGAGATATGCTGTGCGCTTGTTACGAAGTTGCGCCAGTACAAAGGACGACCTTACCAGCTGTGGCTTCGTGACCCTGTCGAAGACTACGAGGAACCTGTACTGGATGGCCCAGTCAGCGACACTGAGGATGATACTGAGGATGACGACGAAGATGAGGCTGAAGATGATGGTGACGTTGACGATGGTGCCGAGGATGCCACGACTACCTTGCCTACAGCAGCTCCTCTGCCCCTCGAGCAGCCAGCCCTGGCAGCAGTCTAAGGAGTTTCTCTACGCCTGCGCTTCAAACTTCGTTCGGTAAGTCAAATTCAAATAACTTATCTGTTTTCTATTTCACAGCTAACTTCATTAGCAGTTAGTTACATTGGCCATTTCTACGTCGAGTTCATATCTCCCGCCGTGCAGATCGAGTGAGCAGGAAGGCTATGGTCAGGAAGGAGACGCATCGTGGAAAGGAAGTTTCGTTCATTTGCTTTTCTCTGTTCGTCAGGTTCGACACACGGCCGGAATTTACCGGTCTACGCATAGAAAGAAAGCTTGAGGCAAACAGCCTCTTCACACGCCCTTCACTTCTTTAGTGGTGGATATGCTTTCTAAACCGGTACAGTAGACATAAATGTCTCTTGCTGGTGTATCGTCGTCGGGACCGTCAGTTAGTTCGCGAATGACTTATTTCTTTTCATTTGCTAGTTAGGTAGTTATCGCCCTCATAACAACGGTGACTATGATAAATTCGTTTTTACACACTTCTCTCAATCAGCAAGAGAATTTTCTATTAAAAAAATGAAATTGATCCTATATTTATTCGCGTTTGCTTACTTCGTACTGCATGCCATCTGTCCGCTGTTAAATCCGGGGCTTAGTTAAAAGCAAGCTAGCAGTACTACTACCCATGTCTAATGCTATGATGATACAGAAGAACGAACATATATACGAAACATAAGAAATGGCAAAAAGAATGCCCAACACAGGAGTCGAACCTGTTGCCTCCTCATGACGGAGATTATCCTGCTGGAGGAATGGTACTAGTGAGGCGCTCTACCGGTGAGCTAGTCGGGCCCAGAATACGAGCTTGATCCACCTGTGAGGTGTCCCATTCGAATGAAAACTTTCACGTAAAGCTACGCTATGTTCCATTGCCAAGTCACTTACCTTGAGGGTCATATGGTTCGCTTGAAAGAATCTATGCGCCGCTTTGATACTCGAGGCATTAGATGAAAAGGTTATTTTTTGCACAACACAGTACCGCAATAATAGGGGTTTGTTGGTACTGTATTTGCCAGACGCTAAGACTTGGCGCCTACAGCGATCTTTGTGCTGGAGTTCAGCGGGGTACTGCTATTACTTGGTGCACTGACGGGCTACAAAAGCAAAATTGAAAAATGACAACGCCAAAACTTCCGCGATGTTGCACTGTGCAATATACGATAGTAAGAATGAAGACGACAGGGATGAGTTTTGGATAGTGAATTTTCACAACTGCTACCTCAATCTATGATCGGTATCTGACCTTCAGTGCCTAGGTACCCAGGTACCTTTTAAGAAGACCATAGAAAGATACGAAGATCCAGACCTATGGTCATGACACACACTTGTCTTTCACATTGAACCTATCTCGAGCATATAGCAAGCGCTTGATATATTGGGGAGCGCAGCCCCTTCGCATTTATAGCGAGTTATGTAATTTGTATGTGGTATGTAATCTAGATACGTATCATCCTTTGTCCAATATAAATAAATCCCCAAACTCCTCCTGATTGAATAGGTACTGTAATTCCTTGGTATAATCTGTGATGGAAATGAAAATGAAATGAACCCAAAATATCCTCCGCCCGCCCATCCGTTCGTCCAATCTTCTTAAACAAGCAATCTGATGCATAATATCATACAATCCTATCGTGAGAACGCCATCGGCTTGGGCATGGGGCTCTGAGCCGTTCCGGGCGGACCCACGAAGACCTGGCGCACCCAGCTCTTGAACTTCTCCCAGAGCTTGCAGATCTTGTCCCAGATCCAGGACAGGCCGATCTTCAGATACTCGAAGACGACCTCCCATGGTATGAAGTAGACAAGCGCCGCGGCCGAGACGCCAAGGATTATCGCAGGGCCGGCTGCTGTGGCGATGGAATGGATCTTGGCGCCGGCCATGCCGAGCTGGGCCGCACGCACACCAAAGGCGTACTTCACGTGGATTCCGTCGGCTGCCGCTTTCATGCCCATGTTGAACTCCTTCGGCCCGACGACAAGACCCATGATGGTGGCTATGACGGTTTTGATCTCGCTGAATCCGATATCCCCGGAGAGCTTCTGGAAGAGCTGCAGGAGCTCGTCTTGCTCGGTGGGGCTGTACTCCTCGTGGGGCCGTGTGATGCGCGTCCATGAAGTGTCCGGGGCTACGGTGGCGAGCTTGATTCGAACTCCTCTTTGGTGTCCCACGATGAGAGTATGTTCCTTGTGGCGGTTTGCTTCCCACCGGCTGACGCGGATGCTGTGGTATGTGGAGGACCCGTCGATGAGCAGGCTTCCTCCGTCGTTTTTGGGAGCGCATCGCAAGACCTTGAGCTTCTCGAAGTGTGATGGCACGTGGAAGCATATCTCAGGGACTCCGGCGCTGGCGAGCAGGTTCAGTGTAGGCCGCTTGGAGGAGAGCTTGACACTGTCGATTGTCTCTTGTAGTCCTTCAGCGGGTGTGATGTATACGATGGGCGGAGCTTTCGAAACGTTAGTCACTTCTCCCAGTTTGAATAATCTACCTGGTCTGGCTGGATTGCGTACCTCTCCACATTTTGGACAGCCCACGATGCTTGATCCCTTCCCGCAGCCTCGCCTTGGGAAGTTCAGAGATAACTATTGTCACGCTGTGGTGGTCGCATTCTCGACTGGCTACATCACCAACCAACGCCGCCTGCTTCTCAACCGATTCATCGAACTCGGACGAGGGAGCGATGGTTGATGAGTCATCGACCCACTTTGTCGTCGCCGACACTGTTGACGACATCGTGGAAGATGGTGTTTCTTTCAGAACTTGAAGGTTTGGCGAGTCTGGGTTGTGGTCAACCCTAGAGAGGGCGCTGATGTGGCTAAGAAGTCTGTCAGATAAAATTGCCATCCGGAATTTCGCCTTCGTCTTACGATCGAGTGTTATGATTTCATATACAGGAAGGTGGACGGATAATCTTGAAGCCTTATATAAACCTGATAGCTTCTTTGACGCTTCATAGGCAGTCTAATAGGGGGGTTAATACCAATTGGACACTAGCGGTATGGGCCTTAATACGTGTACCCTTTTCCAGCCCATCAATCCCCGCGTATCGTATATCCAATCGATTTTACACGGCGACGAATCGACTCCGCCCCCACCACGATCAGAAGCAGATCGTGACAATCAGATAATCAGCGTAAGAAAAGTTGGACTGTTATGAAATCCCAAAACGACGACATTTAATTTGCGCTGCGGTCAGTACTCCACTACCACCCTGGATGTTGTGACCGATACGGTCTAGACCGAATTCAGGGGCTCACCGCCAATACCGCGGAGATTGGGATTTGACAGCTGTTCACCTTGAGACTAAAACAGCAAGTCCATATCCCATAGGTTTATTACTATTAGCTTCTGTATCACTTGCTGGCAAAACGACTGTGAGTCAATACATCATTCCCTTGGTCCATTGAGAGGTTTCAGGATCCCTCACATCGACCACGTATGTAGTCTACGGTGTGTGGATTACCTACCTCACACTGTATTTCTCTCAGCCCGATTCGCTAAGCGCGTTTAGCTGAAGCGATGACTTACTAAGCGGTCTAACAGTTGTGTTGCACAACTTGTGCAACACGAATACAGTACCAATAAACCCCTATTATTTCAGATACTGTGTGTACCTAAGTAAATTCAAGGCTTTTGTCGCTCTTGGTCTGCTGTTTTGCAACTGGAGTAGTCGGTCTTAGATGAAAACTTCCTTTCCGTTAGTTTTATATATTCAAGGTTAGGTAAAAATCATGAGACCTATTAGATAGTGAACTATCAAACTTTTCTTGTTCTGCGTCGATGATGCAGTTGGCGAGATAATAATTTGAACTGCCTTGTACCGCTTAAATCTTGTCAGAAGGGGCTCGTGCTTCGCTCCCTATAGCAAAGTCACCGAAGACCACTTGGAAGTAAACCAACAAAAAAAGAATTTGTCGGGAAAATTTTAGATCTAAAAAGACCAAACAGGAAAGAGTTAGATCAGCTAGTTAATTTTTTTTCAATGTACATCAAACTCATTTACGTACTATGCAAATTTGCAGCCACAGATCGTAACCGCAAGAAGGAAAGTTGTATAATAGTCGTAGCTCGTCCGATGAAAACTTCAAGATGTGCTCGCCACTTACGATAAAAGGGATTCCTTTGGCACAGAATGATGCTCGCATGCAGGCACGGTCTAAGGCCGAACCAACTGAAGTTGCTGCACGGTTGCTGTAGCATAAAACAAACCTTTTATATCATACCCTTATTCGTAGAACTACCGTATCTTGATCTTCCCAATCTGGAACGACGAGGACTTACATGATGGGGAGTTTATTGTTTTGCTACCTCACAGTATTTGTCCTCGATAGTCTGGAGGAGGTCTATGAGTGCATTGTTGCAACTATTCGCAGCAAGTTCGTGGTATGTTGGTTATAATTTGTTTTCATCTAAGCTTTCATTCCTTTTTCAAGTTCCCAAACCTACCTTTAAGCTTCTATTTGATGCAGACAAGCAGTGACAATTTTAACACTTTATACAACAGCCTTCAGGCTAACGTGAGCTCGTCGCTTTTTCAGCGTATCAACATTAGAACGGGCTCTCACTAATTATAATTGATCCACTGCCATAAAAATATATTTAATGAGCGTTTAGACCCCAGGGACTTTGAGGATCAAGATACAGAATTAGTTGGCCAACATTTGCCTCGTCAATAATCCTCTTATCTCTTTCTTTGGGGTATTCTATCTTCAACACGCTAGACCGCCAATCCATCTACCAATTTTAAGCAGATATGCCGTACTACCATCTCCCGGAACTGCTTTATGGAGCTAGCTTTCCTAATAATGAGACGTGGGGGTTCATTATATATCGCACAACATACGACGACCAAGCACTATGGGAACGATATTTGGCATATGTCAAAAAGGCCATGAGGGCTTCACTTGCGCCACGGGATCCATTCGCTTATGGGCAGGCTGCCTGCATGAAGTTGCGGTTAAAATTTGAGCTTCAGACAAAGGAGAACAAGGAGGATCTTGAAGGGAAATCTATCCTGGAGCTTCGCGAAGAATTCGGCCGCTGGGTCACGACCATACCGAAGGATGAGAAGCGAGGAATTAGCAAACCTCGGTACGACTACTTTCTTTACGTGGACAAAGAAGTTTTGGACCGGTTCCAAAGATTGGAAAGCGCACGCGGAGATCGTGAGCCTAACTTTATTACCGAAGAAGTGGTGGCAATCGTGGTCGAAGCACACCGTATTAACTGGGAAGAAGATCGGTCGGACGACGGAGGGGATGATGATAATATGTGGGAGCGATGGCAATACATGTAAGTCCCCTATTTTCGCCCTTGGGGTTATCATCGCCTAACGTTACTTAGAAAACCCTATTCGATCCCAGAGCTGTACGATGATGTACTCCGGGGTTCCGAGTTATGGTATAAATTTTTCGTCTTCGCGCCCAATATTCATGGGATGCCCCTTTGGTATTGAGGCGGTCCGCCATTAAGGAATAAGTTGACTTGGGCACCTACATAACCTCTTGGATCAGCATGGACACTTGTACTAGAGGATAAGCTCTATTTCAGGCGGTAGTTTAGGTTTATTGGTGGAGGAAAATGGGCAATGTTGAGAATTCTCGAGCCATATAACCTAGGAACACAGAATAACCTCATTCTCACATACACCTGGGTATATGGTATCCATTATATTATTCACCCCGTTGAAGTTGAATTGTGTCCGTTTCCTTCACGGTACTACGAGTGCACACATCAGGAATATAAAGTGCTCCTGGGATTCATGTAACTGACCATTGAACAACCCATTATGAAC